AAATGAACATGGTATTTCTTAGGAGAATATGCTATGGAGAGCTTGTAAGAGGACAACGTGCAGGTGTGGTTTTCCTCCTTCCACGTGGGTTCTGGGGATAGAATTCAGGTCATAGCCCTCCGGTCTCCTGGTTCTTGACTGTGTCCCTGAGAGTGCAGTGGTGTTGTGGGAAAGTGTGTGCTTAACTCTTTAGGAAGGTGTCGTGCCGTTGTTACTTTTGTCAGCAGTTCAAGGGTGTTCGGTGGTTCCAGATGCCAGATGCTCCCCACAGATGCACAGGTCCCAGGCACCGAGCCTGCAAATGTTACTTCATGTGGCAAAATGGACTTGATGGACATAATAAATCTGGGTAGACATTAAGTATAATCAAAAGTGTCCTTAGTAGACATCTGTGGGAGATTTGATGACAAAAGGCACGCAGCTGAAAAGGCTAGGAAATGAACTTGTTTTGAGAGCTTCTAGAATCAGCCAGCCTTGCGGACACCTTGGTTGAGTCTGTCGGTACTGTCTGAAGGCAATGAGTGCATGAGAATTTGTTATGGCACCAATAGGTTACTAAGGTGGTCTGTGTTCTCACCAACACTTGGCACTGTCAGAAAAATTTAGAACCATGCTAAGTGATATGAAATCTATTTCATTTCGGTTTTGATTTGCATTTTTCTGACAGTGGTGGTATTAAATATCCCCTAGTATGATACTTTACTCTCTTTGATTAAATGTTTGTAAATTTGTTCCTCTCTTATTTAACAAACTATTTTCTTTGATTATTAATTTTATACACTCTAAATCATAGTCCTTTGTCAGCTATATGTATTGTAAAACCTCCCCAGTCTATGACTTGCCTACTCACCTTTCAGTGGAACTTTGTGTAAGTGTTCTTAACTTTGATGGTTTAATTTATAGGAATTGATGGTTGGTGCTTTTTAAGTTTTTAAAGTCATGAATACTCTTTTCTCCTCCAAGAGCTAAAGATTCTGCTAGCCATGAAGAATGATAGGAGGAAGTGGTAGATGCTTTTCATTTACATACTGGAAAGTTGTTGAAAAGTAGACTAAACTTGGTGCCTTAGTGGACAGTGGGCTGTAAATCTGTAGGCTCTCTGGACATCCTTGTCTACTAGTACGTACATAACCTTTCCCTCTGTGCTTCCTATATAATTACTAAGGCTCTTTAGGTTTTTTAATTGTATTTTTTATTTTTTCAAGTCTTGAAATAAGGTAATATAGGTCACTTAGTTTCCTTTTTCATTCTCAAGATTAAATTTGATTATTCTACATATTTTTTATTTCCATGTGAGTTTTTAGTTTTTTTCCCCCTTGAACTGTAGATAATTGAACCAAAAGCTTCACCCATGCTCCAAGTGCTCTATCCACTGAACTGCACCTGGCTCCAGCTCATCATGCTGAGACATTTCAAATTGAGAAGACTAGACATTAAATAAGCATAATTAGCATTTCTTCCTGGATGTTCTGGGATCCCCACCCTGCACACACCTTTGTGGTTCAGTTTGGATATTTTAATTTGACCTGTCTTTAAGTTCACTGTGTGAACTGATAAAGATTGACTTTAGGAAATAAAGTTGGTGCAAAAATCTAGTTACAGAGTAGTAGTGTACATAATATATAGGGATGATAAGTTGAGAGTGAGTAGAGTTGTGTGGTTTGTGTTTATAGCTCTAAAACAACACAGACTAGAAAAATACTAGAGGAATGGTTTGCATGCCTGAAGAAGCTGAGAGGTGGGCAGACACTTGCTATGTAGTGTGACTTGGGAAATGTATGTACATTTACATGATGAGTGTACAATTTAGGGAAGAGAACAGTCCTTAGCAAGTGGAAGGAATACAGAAATGGATCTGACTGTCTCACGTTGCTAACACCTCTAGAGAAAGCGGTTATTTTAGGTGACTTTCTAAGGCACTTTCCAGATTGTCCTCAGTAGATAGAGCTGCAAAGAAATCTTAAACTTTTGTCTAATAATCTGTTTTAGAAATTATATTGGTATTACTTCAAACTTCTTTCTATATATAGTAAGATAATACAAGTGACTGTATTTATTCAAAACCAAAATTTCCAGTGTTAGGGAAAAGGACATGAGAGTAAACCAGAATGAATCCCACCCCAACCCCACCCTGCCTGTGAATGTAATTTCATTTGGATAAAAGGGTTTTATAAGATACACTTATGGATCTTAAGATGAGATTGTTCTAAATTTTATTTATATATATATATGTATTTTTTTTTCTTTTTCTTTTTTTTTTTTTGGTTTTTCGAGACAGGGTTTCTCTGTGTAGCTTTGCGCCTGTCCTGGAACTCACTTGGTAGCCCAGGCTGGCCTCGAACTCACAGAGATCCGCCTGGCTCTGCCTCCCGAGTGCTGGGATTAAAGGTGTGCGCCACCACCGCCCGGCCTATATATATGTATTTTATAATTAACTTAATTTCACATATCAGTCACGGATTCCCCCGTCCTCCCTCCTCCCACTCTAAATTTTCTTGATGGACCCCAAGCACAATGGCAAGTGCCCTTACGTGGGAGTCTGTGGGAGTCCAGCTCCGACCTGCTCCCGCCTTTTGAAGGGTTCTTAGGTGGAGGAGAGAGGAATGAGAAAATATCAGAAAGATAAGCCTGGACAATGAGGAGAGAGACACAGGATAGCTTTGGGAGGGCCTGGGTTAATACCCAACCACCCTGAGGTTTATTCAAAAGGGCTTTTTATAATATGCCAAGGGGAGAGGCAAAAGACCTCCCCCTTGCAAGATCAAAGCAGTGTACAGCCAAGTGTAGACCCTTCCAAATACCTGGTAACCACGCTGTGGTCAAATCATTATATTATGCAGCCTTGCTGGGTAAAGCAAGCTCAGATTCTCTGACCCTGAGTAATTTCTCACTAGATAGCCTCTGTGGACCTCCATACCCTTATAAAGGTTTATGGTAATGCATGACAGCAGCCCCAGGGAACTAATAGAAATAATAGACATTAAAATGAAATACTTAAGCATTTAACCTGATTTAGCTTAAAGTAAATGTGTTTTAGGATAAACACACAGCCCTCCCTAGCTGATGGGGAAATGTTCCTTTTAAAGAATTATAGCTAATAATGGATGGAATAGACAGAAAGTAACCCTAATAAATACATCTTGCTACTGGTCATTGAAGGGTGATCATACTGCGTGGAAGGGTGATAGAAATTCTTAGCCTGCAGACCGGTGCAGTCTGTCACTAGCTGCTGTAGCAGGTAGAACATTGTTGGCTTATAGATAAATAATGTGATACGGACCACACAGGGTCTATTGTTGGAGGTTGAAATATAATCTAAAGTATGTATAGCTCACCTCCTATTGTATGGCTAGAAGGATAGATTAGTGACACCACAAGGAAAACAATGAGAGTATAAACTCACATAGCTACTACTTCCTGAATCAGTTAGGGTAGGGATTGTTCTGGATTTAAGAGGACTCAGGAGGTAAGCTGTCCAAGTGAATTGCATCATCTGTTTTGCACCTGAACTAAAAAACAACCATGAGATGGACTTTCCCTTTGAACCAGCCAGGCAAATGATGGGTAATGATGATTCCAGGCTTTGATAAGGACCGAGAGGAGGATCTCTGTACTGTTCTTATGGATACCAAATTACAGAGTTGAAATAACTATCGGAGACTTGCTTTTGTTGTTGTTGTTGTTGTTTAAGGAAAAGTAAGATAGTACCGTATCTTAATCATTGCAACAAGTGGGAGAAGTATATTACTGTTTCTAAAAGTAAATAATATTGTATAAAAAAAAAGTGTTCCGACAGAGTCTTACAGACATCTGTATCCCTTTCTCAGGGTTTACATACCCCACGAAACAATAGATGCAGTGTGTAAGAAAGATAAAGAAAGGCATGGTATTAGGAAGATAGCAACTTCAGCTCACAGAGAGGTGAAGGGAGTTCCTAGTAATGCTGCAGGACAGGGGATCACTAGTTCAGTTCAGAGATGGAGAATATGAGTGCTAGGATGTGAGTGTATGGAATACATTCAGTTGAATTTTTTTATGTGTATGATTAAAAATTTCATTGAGGGAGTGGCATAGAGAGGACAGTTTGGTGGTAAAGTACATAGGAAAAAAGCAAATGGAAAGGTTGAGTCTGTGAGTACCGAAAGGTGTGCAGAAAGAAAGAACTTCCTGCTGATCCCATCGGACAATAATGGTTTAATTACAACTGCAAAGTGATTTTCAGAGTAAGAGAAAGGGAAGTAAGTAATGATGTAAAGGAATTAGCCCATTGTGTCCCATAGGGAATTCAATAGCTTATACCTGAACTTGGTGTTTGAAGGGTTACTGTTCCAAGCCTGTTACTTTGACATAAACTAAAAGATATTGAAGAATGGCACGTATTGTAGGAAGAAAAATTGTGCTTAGTTTGTGTCTATTACTAGATAAAAGAGAAAATGGGTGTTAGAATAGGTAGAATTTAAGCTGACAGGGTTGAATAGAGCCTTTTATCCACAAGTTTGTTTACTTTTCTTTATTCTTAATGAAAATGTAAAACTATGAACAGTTGGTTTGTATATATTTTATTTTTAAGTCTCCCCCACCCCTAAGCCTGTTGATGTTAGGCAAGTATTCTACCACTTTATTATATATACTTCAAGCCTTGATTTTTGCTAGATCTTTTGAGAATAGACCAAAGTCCTAAAAATGTGGAAAAAAATTGGTCTTCGTGAAAATATTTTAGTCAAGTGTTAATTTGAAAAAATTAAGAATAAGGAGAAATTACATTATTAAAATTGTCTAGAGCATTGATAAGGATTTTATTTGCAAAATTATATTTGCCCAAGAGTTGAGTCATCCCGATTTTAGAAGGATTTGTTGTTACAATTCAGCATTTCCAGGAGTATAGGACTTGAGATTGAAGAATTTGAATTTCTGTTCTGTGCTATGGCTTGCTTCTGTAGCATGTTGAAATCACTACTTTTAAGTTAGTTTTAAAATGAATGTTTCAATGTCTTTTCTAGGATATACTTGCCAGGCTGTTTCTGAGTGTGGATTGTAACCTCTGGTAAGAAGATGTCGTCCATCTTGCCGTTCACGCCGCCAGTGGTGAAAAGACTCCTGGGATGGAAGAAATCAGCCAGTGGGTCTGGAGGAGCAGGTGGTGGAGAACAGAATGGACAGGAAGAGAAGTGGTGTGAGAAAGCGGTGAAAAGTCTGGTGAAAAAACTAAAGAAAACAGGACGATTAGATGAGCTTGAGAAAGCCATCACCACTCAGAACTGCAATACTAAATGTGTGACCATACCAAGGTAAGTGAGGCCAGGGCGCCCGGAGAACGTGGCTGGATTTCTGTTACTTCAACCATCTCTACATAGTGGTTATTACAATGTAATTATTTTGTTTGGGGAGTTAAATCTTGTTTATTTTATAGTTTATTTTCCTGAGTAGTGAAATTTAATCAAGCAACGTTGAAATATATTGTTTTATCTCTGTTACTTGAAGTTGTATGCTATTCCCATCTCTATGATTGAAAGTTGAATAAAGAGTCATTGAATGGAAATTAAACAAATACCCAAAACTGTGACTGACAAGTACTGGCTGGTAGTTTCATCAGGCCTTGGTCAATCAGTAAATAGTTAAAAGCTCTGCTGTCTCGTGATGAGACACACACTTAAACAAGAATTGTAGGTGAGGCCGAGTCTGCTGTGTTGTAGTTTGAACTCATCTCAGAGGCTGGCCTTGTACATTAGAAGGACCTGTTTCTCACGAGGTTGAAAGTTTGAGTAGAATTTTCATCATTTTATAGGTAAGTACCGTAGTTAGGAGGGTTGTGGCAGGTCGTTTGAGAGTGTGTTCCAGACCTATGTGTATTTACATTACAGCTGCATGTGTGTATCCCAAAGACAGAGTGTTCTGAGTGATGGCAGTACCATAGGTAAGGACTGGCTTTGCTTGTTTCCAGTGAGCCGTGAGAAGTATACACCCGATGCCTGTAGATGATGGATCCCAGGAAGACCAACTTCTACTTAGCAGATTGTTTTCTACCTTGTTTGATAGACTAGCCATTTTTACTTTGTTTTATGTATATCTTGAGTTACCTTTCTTGGTTCTTTTGTTTTTACAAATGCTGATGAGGTGCTTGGTGTGTGTAAGATATTATTTTTAGACAAATGGGGATATAGTGGTGTGCAAATAGAAAGTTCCTAAGGGAGATTGACTTGTAAATAAAGGAGCATAATTGGAGGAAGTAATGAACTCAGAAGAAAGTGCAGGGTGGGATGGAGAGCATGTGAGGTGGAGGTTACAGAGCTGCTTTGGCTGGAAAGGTGAGGTCTGAGCTGCTCCAGGGGAAAAGGGCCAGTGTAAAGACTCCAAGGCGTGGAGAACAAAACCCAGTGTTTTAGGGAGCTGGGCGAGTTTGAATGTTTGACTAAATAACATAAGGAGCAAGTAAGGACTGTTTCATTTTGTTTTTGTTTTTTTTTGTTTGTTTTGTTTTTTTTTTGTTTGTTTGTTTTTTTTTTGGTTTTTTTTTTGGTTTTTCGAGACAGGGTTTCTCTGTGTAGCTTTGCGCCTTTCCTGGATCTCGCGCTGTAGACCAGGCTGGCCTCGAACTCACAGAGATCCGCCTGCCTCTGCCTCCCGAGTGCTGGGATTAAAGGCGTGCGCCACCACCGCCCGGCCATTTTGTTTTGTTTTTTTAACTGCATTTTTAAAAAAGATTTTTTAAAAAGGTCTGTATCTTACCAAGCTATCCTGGCCAGTAGTCAAGTGCTGAGGGGGAAGAGGGGTGGCAGTGCTGTGCAGGCCTCTGCTGGTGTGTATGTGAGTGAGTGAGGGGGGGTGTATTAGGGTGAGTGGAAGTGTGAAGAAGAGCTGTAGTGCTGTGGTGTGGCAGTCTAGTGCAGGATGAGCAGAATTGGACAGACATGGCTATGCTGATGCTCAGAAGGACTGTGATTGGCCTGTGTTTTGGAAGTGGAGATCACAGGACGTAAGGCAAATCAGCTAAAATTAAGTCAAGCTTTACTTGTTCATTTTTCATTGTGTGGTTTTAAGTGTCCACCACTTGGCTCATATGTGCTGGATATGCTATTGAATTGCTTACTTCCTGGTGAGGGAGGTAAATTTAAGTAATTCGGCAGGTATACTACTTATTAGGAAAGAAGTGCACCAGGGACCTCTGTCCAAAGGAAGCCAGGGAAGCTTTCTCCTAGGGAGTCTCTGTGGTGGAGAGTAGAAATTAGGAAAAACTGGTTTCAGCAGGAGTAGAAGTTGGGATTGAGGGACAGGTAAAGGATTGCTCGTTCCCAGTGAGGAGATGTCCTTAGAGTATAAACTGAGGGGCTAGTGATGGTGGGGTGATTCTGAAGGTGGCAGGAACCCACACCATGCTGTACGTGAGCATGACTCACTCAGAAGGATTGAATTGTTGAAAAGTTTTAAATTCAGGAGACCCAGATGGCGGCTTAATTTTGTTTATCTTTACACTTTTGTTTTCTTAAATGGTGCTGGGGATTGAACAAATACAGGGTCTACACAAGTTAGGCAAATACCCTACCAGTGAGCTATATCCGTCACTCTTAGTTTTTCTCTGTCTCCCAGGATAGCCTCGAACTTGAGATCTTCCTGCTTCAGTCTCCAGGATGCTAGGATTGTAGAAGTGGGTTGCACATCTGATTTGGCAGCTTAATTTTAAGAACTGCATGCGAGCTTATTCCCCATGTGGACACATGGAGGCCAGAGGCTGATGTTGGAATGTCTTTTCTGATCACTTTTCCACCATAGTTTTTGAGACAGTCTCTTACTGTACCTGAAGCTTGCTGTTTGAGTGAGGAGGTGGGTTGTGAGGCTGTCTGGAGTGGAGGTGGGATCACCTAGTGGGTAGTCAGTGGGTACATCCAAGGCTCCATTGCTGTTGTAGTGAGGTGGGCCAGAGTGGAACTCTTGAAGTAGCAGATAACAGTTACAAGTATCCATGCAGAGCTTTATCCTTGAGGTCACCTTAGTAACAGCTTCCCTTCTTTTCCATTCTACTTAGAGTCTCTTTTTCGAGACTTTCTATTTTAGATCTTTTTCATTATTGAAATATACTTTTACCCAATTAAAGATTACCTTGGTTTTACTGTTAAGATTTTCTTGAATTTTGGAAGCTTGTTTGATTTACCATGCTTTTTAAAAAATAATGTTTTTATTAATTGAGAATTTTATACAATGTATTTTGATCATGTTCTCCTCCCCAAATCCTCCCAGGCCTACACCCCTCATCCCACCCCTCCATACTGGCTTCCAACTTTATCCTCCTTAAAAATAAATAAATAAATAAAGCACCAGTGATTCCAGTTAGTGCTGCCCATATACTCGTGAGTGTGGAACATCCACTTAAACATGCTTGATCCACCAGAGCCCACACCCTTCAAGAAAACTGACTTTCCCTTTTCTAGAAGCCATCAGTCAATAGTTCCTCAATAGGGGTGGGGACTTGTGAACCCATTCCCACTCGGTGCTAGAATGTTAGCTGCCTTGATCTTGTCTAGGTCCTGTTTGGGCTATTTAAGCTATGTGAATTCATGAATGTACAGACCTGTCATGGTTAGAAGACACTTAGAATCCAGTCCTCCCAACTCCCTCTTCCACAGTGGTCCTTGAGACTTGGGGTGGGTGTGATATTGATGTTCCTTTTTTGGCTGACTACACTGATCTCTACACTGATCGCTTTTAAGTTTCTTTGTTAACCAGTGTCTACCAAAAAAAAAGTCTCTGATGAGAGTTGGGTGGCACTGATCTATGAGTATAGAGATAGAAATTTAGAGGACAGTTTAATATTATGTCCATTTAGTAGATTGATAATAGTGGGTTCACCCCTGGAGCCTGTGAGCTCCTCAACCATAGGTTTTGGGCAGATTTACGGCTCCAGGTATGTGTTTCTTGTGTGGAACAGGCCTTAAATCCACTCAGAAAGCTGTTGGCTGTCCAGTCACACTCCTGCCACCATTGCATCGTGGACAGATCTTCCCCTGGCTGTAGTTACTGTAGTTCCCAGGATGTACAACTGGCCAAGACTGGTGAGGCCTTCCCCCAGCAACCCACAGTAGTGCCTTCCTGTACAATGAAGCTAGCCAACAGGAAGGAAGCTCCCTGGTCAGTCCCAGCCTGATTTCTCCATGCCCTGTGACAGACAGTTGTGCTTTTTTCAAATTAGATTTGTTTGTATGGATTGTTACTGATTAAAAAACTATAGCTTCTTACATTGTAGTTTGATGTATATTTTAAAACTTTTTAGTAGAAGTAGAAAAATTAAGTCAGTTATTATTCATATCTTAACTATTAAATATCTTTCAACAGTAGGTTTTAATTGAAATTCAGTCACCTCATTTATGTAGTGTAAAAGATGGGAGGTGAGCGTTGGAAAGGTAATCTAAGCTATGTAAGTTTATGAGTGTTGTGGGTAGTCTAAGACCAGTTTAAACAGTTGTTTAAAATATGATACAAAATGTATTTAACCACATTCACTTAAAATTGCAAGTAAGTTTTTAATAAAACAAATACCTTAAGATTTTACAAGCCTAAAATTACAAGCTCAATTGGTGGAGAACATGTTGGCTTAGAATATAGCAAGTGTTTACAGCTAAAATATCTGTTTTGTTGACTTGGAGCAGTTTCCCCCTTTGTGCCCTTTGCCCCACTAATATTAGAGTGGGATTAAAATTGCCCAGAACAGCCCTGGCTTTCTGTCCTGTTTCCCCTCCTGCAGCTGCCTCAGAGAGTTGGAAGCTGGAAAGGTAACAGCAGTAGTCGTCTTTCTTACCATGCATGATGTGCAGTGGAGCAGATGGCACAGAGCAACTAACGTGGAACTGGACCTGGCAGCCTGGGCCAAGCAAGACAGTTGCAGGAAATCTTCCTGTCTCTGCAATTTTTTTTTTTTTTTTTTTTTTTTTTTGGTTTTTCGAGACAGGGTTTCTCTGTGTAGCTTTGCGCCTTTTCCTGGAACTCACTTGGTAGCCCAGGCTGGCCTCGAACTCAGAGAGATCCGCCTGGCTCTGCCTCCCAAGTGCTGGGATTAAAGGCGTGCGCCACCACTGCCCGGCCTGTCTCTGCATTTTTAAGACTAGAGAAAGGGAGAAAGCTCAGTCATAAAATCAGAATGGGAATTGAGTCAGGGAAGAAACTAAAAACTTTTAGTACATTTTAGCTACAATAAAATAAAGCAAAACCAGAACTTCTGATGGGAATGGAGTTATAAAATTAAAAGGAAATTACTGTAGGATCTAAAATAACCATTCCATAGTAACCATAGCCATTATGT